CAGAAGTGGCTGGAGACACACAGTTTCTCAGATTCAATAACCTGTGGGGTTCGGTGCTGCTGCAGTCGAGCAGCCCTCAGGTGGGACGGCTCCTGGGCTCCCAGCAAGGAGAAGTGCAGCTGTGCATTTGCTTGCTCAGTCCTAGTCCTGAGATGCAACTCAAAAGGTAAGTGAAATTGTATATGCAAGTGCCTCAATTTGTACAATAGCTGGAAACTCTCACACTTCTTCTTCTTGCTCCCCTGTATCACCTTCTCAATAATTCATTTTTTATTTTTATTTTTTTCCCCCACTAACGATTTAGGATACCTAGCTCAGAGAGATCCCCATAGCCTGGATGGCTGACTCAAATGAAAGAAGAAACAAAATACCTGAAGGGCAGAGGAAAACCTCCCATCCCACTTGGCACCTGGGCATTGGAAAAGTGCTGATCCTCTCTGACCAAAACGCTTTTAGACGCAACCCACTCCTGGGCACTGTCTCAACCTTTGAGGAAATCACTTTCCACTGCAAACACTGACTGTAGTCACTGCAATATATTTATTCCTCTCATCTGAGGATCCCCCACATGCTTTGAGGTATTTGAGTTCATGAGTGGGAATACCAAATATTATTCCTATTTCTCAGTTCCTGTACGTCAGTTGGCTCTTGGACGCCCTCCCTCTATGTCGTGGTGTCAGTGAGGATGAGCGAGGCTGCCCTTTGGTTTAAAATACCACTGTTTGGTTTAAAACATTAGATTTGGGTCTTGCTAAAAGCACCTCCCACCATTGCTGTCCTTGTTTTCCAAAGTAAACAGCCTCTGGCGTCTTGTGACCTGAACAGCCCCAAGTGTCTGACCTTGAAAAACAAAAAATATTTCATTTGCAAAGAAAATCTGCAGCCAAAATGATTCGGGGCACTGCTTTCCTTCCTCAGCAGGATGTTGGAATGTCCAGGCTCTGGTAGGATCTGCTTACCTGCCACAGAAACACACAGAACATATTTGCTCTCTAATGATATATTAGGCAATGGTTTTGAGTTGGCAGCCACTAAAAGCCCTAACCAAAGATAAAATTGTGATTTATCAAAAGAGAATACTGAATTCATGGCCACTTGCGACTGGTGCTAGCCTGCATACCTGAAGTTAGGAAGGAGATGAAATGATCACCTTTTCCAAGATACTGTGCCTCAGGGCTGAAGCAGCAAAGGTGTTTGAAAGCTTGCAAAGAAGGATGTGGAAACGGAGCAATACTGATGCAGGAAGAGATGTAATTGGGTGGCATCACAGAAGAATGCAGAAGTGCCTGTGCTTCAGCTGGTATGTACCTTTCCTTTCCACTGTCTCCAGGACTCTTGTTCCCTGTACAACTTCTCTGGAATAGCAGGATGTCCCAAAGGCATCCTGTTCCCACAGAAAGTTTTAAATGAATCTTGAAAATAACTTCTCTGCACATACCTTGAGGTACCTCTCCCAGTGCGCCTTCCTCCGTTCCATCCTCGTAACCTTACGGTAGCTTTGTTTTGATGAAGGCAGTGATGTTCAACAGATACTGGAGCAAAGTTAAGAATTAGCATCCATTTTTACAGGCTTTCAGCAGCTTGTGTTATTTTATTTGCAACGAGTTAGGCCAATCTCACAATCCCACAGTGGAAATTTAGAGTTTAAGCTGAGCAGGTGAGGCAAACAGCAAGTGGCAAAACACTAATTCCTCCCTGCTCTTCCCACACTTCTCCTACCCTTCCACCAGAAATGGATTGCTCCTACATCAAGGAACTCAGCCTCGTCATCACTGATGCTCACAGGGATACTGCCACAGTGATTTCTGCAAACCAGCCCCAGCACCACCTCCTTTCACAGAAAACAACAAGTGAACAGCAAAGAAACCACCAGGGATGCCAGCTGCTACAGATCCCAGCCAAATGTGGTGTTCTGGAGGTGAAAGGATCTCTACACCATTACAGAGGTTCCAAGTTTCCCAGTCCCAAGGGTGTGCTTTCAAGGGAAGCAAAACCTGTTTCAGATCACGCCAGATATTTTCTTCCCTGCCCAGCAGTTACACCTGAGGATGTTCTCCAGATGTTTGTGTTTGTATGAAACATACAATAATAAAATTGTAAACCGGAGAAGACAATACCCAGACTGCAAGAAGGAGCTGCCTGGGAAAGCATGAAAATTAACCAGCCCACACACAAAATCAACTTGTTCACATCAATGGGATGATGAATACATATGTTATTGGCCTTTCTGAAGAACCATCACTTTTCTCTGCAAGTGGGCACACAAGATTTGCCCAGTTTCTCCTGTTGCCAGTGGGGGACTGTTTGTTTTTGGGAAGCAGATTCCTTGCACCTGGGCAGATGGAGTCTGAAACAATGTGAAGCCCAATTGCAACTACAGTGAAAAAAAAGAAAATGTCGTTCTCTGGAGTGCCAGCTTTGGAAAAAACAAAAGAGAAGAAAATCCCTGCAGCAAGTGAAAAGTGAGGTGGTGGAAACAGATCTGCTGCACGAGGGCAGTAAAATTTCCTGGCCAGAAGTTAGACCTCCGATATCATCTGTACTGAAACCACAAAGAGTACCAAATGAGAGTGCCCTGCCTAAGACATCCGCAGAGTGAAATGTCTCCAGTGCTCAAAAGCTGTCTAACAAGAGACGAATAAAACAGGAGTTTGAAACTGGAAGCCTTTTCTCTTTCATTTTCTGGAACTGCTTCTCCTTTTCTACTGGGCTATGCTGGCTAAGGGAAAGAACTGAGCAGGCTGGCTCAGAGTCCTAGAAGGTCTCTGGGGAAAGTGTCTGAGTGTACTATTTCTGCTTAATTTGGACTGCTCAAGCAGGCCCTGATCCCAAAAACATGTGGACATAACGGAGACCTTTTTTCTTAGTGCCTTTAATATTACACTGGTGGCCTGTATAATGATTTCAGGACATCACATGCCTAAACTGCACAGAGTTTGGCCATTTCAGTGATTTCACCAATTGTGGATATGTTTAGTAGTATTATCTTGCCTTTTATTAATAAATTAAAAAAAAAAAAAAGACTGTAAAAGCAATGCAGCTGCTGAGTGCTATTGTGGCTCTTATCTGAAAGGAGTAGTTGGAGCTGTAGTATTCATTTCTCTCTGTAACAAAAAGGGAGCAAGGAGTGAGGCTGAAATGCAACTGTTCAAATATGCCAGATTAAACATTTTTGCAGGTTTATTTTGGGACCTGTAGGTGGCCTCATCTTAATAGTCAATAAACCAAGAACTATTAGTTCAGTTTATCAATGAACTAAGCAACACTTTCTCTTCTTGCTCTACTGAATTTGGATGCTGATGAATTTGCTTTCAGCGCAGCTTACAGCTTGCCATTTCATTCTCTATGCAGGAGGGGACAGTGAATACTGATTTCAGTGCTGGAAGTGTGGACGTCTGTTTTGTCTGTGCCCTTACAATCTTTCAAGGTTGCAAAGAGAGACCGTGAAGCTCTGAGTCAGGACCAGTAGAGCAACCTATATCAACTGCTTTGCATTCCACCACAGACCACAGGTGAATAAGCAGAGAACCGCTGACAGTGCGTGGACATCAACCACGGGCATTTTGTAACGTACTGAGCCATAAGAACCATGAACGTAAGTCACATATTCAGTTAGAAAAGACTTCATCTCGTCGCTTAAACCAATTCAGTTGGCTGAAAGACTGCAAAACAAGGATAAGTGAACCAAGACTGAGACGTTTCAGTACAGCCAATCGACCACCAACATCCATACTATGCACCACATTTGGGATGATGAGTTCTTCAGCATCACTTCATCAGAAGCACTGACTTAGCATGTTGTCTTACTGAGCTGAGGGAAAAACTCATTATTTGGGATGGAGAAGATAGGGAATAAAATGAGACTTAGCTCGTGCTACAGAAAGTTCTTTTGTCACTGTTAAAGGGGGCAATAACGCCACGTGCCTCATGTGAGCGTGCTGAGCAGCCCTCACTCCATGCACCACTGTGACTTCTGTCTTGCATTGGGCATGGCTGGGTGCTTCAGCCGTACCTTGCTTTTCAATAGGAGAGGACAAAGCTTTTGGACATCACCTATCTGTAAGTGTGAGAGGCTCAAGTTCTTCACAAGTTCCTGCTGCCTTCCTGCAGCAATGTCTCTGCTGTATAACCCCAGATGCCAGTCTACCACTGTCCATATGGGCACATGTGCTATAGCTACTGTGTTAAGGCCCCAGTTTAACAAGTTTACATACACAAAATGTACTTTTTTAGTGAGGTGCCCATCACATACCATTTTGCTAGGTACCAGTTAGTCCATCAGTTTGGGAGCACGACACCATCACAGGTCTGAGAGGGAACTACAGGCTGAGAAGCAGTATTAGAAGGGAGTAAGTGTTGGACTAATGAACATTCTACTAAGATGGTAAAATAAGTCCTAATTGTGTCGTAAGACATCCAGCATGTGAATTAATCTTACAGTAACTCCTAAGTTCCTGTGAGTATAAGCATGGAAGCAGGTTTGAGAAAAGCTTGCAAGCTCTTCTCCTTCCTTGTACCCATTTTCCAGACCCACCACTGAGCCGATTTACTGAGTAGCACTACCCTGCTGTCCACCATGCATTCCCAACTTGTGTCCTTACAGACAAAGCTTTGCCAAAACCCAACTAGCCAGCCAAATTTCTTGGCTGCAGATCGAGCCCAGGCACTGTGGGGTGCCTACAGCTCGCATGCCACTTGCCAGCCCCCACATCAAATCATCTGGAAGCGGACAAAACTTTTGCTAAGGTGAAAGCTGAGCCCTTTTCTAAACATTTCGCTGTTTACTAGGCCTGGATGTTTGCGATGTTTACCCAATGGACAGTAATGCAAGGAAATGTGGGACCCTGAGGTCCTGTGCCCCTACCAATGGTCTTCCTGAGACAAAAGGATGCCATACAATATTTGCAGTTCAGAGAATGCAAGAAAGATCAGTTCCTGGGCTGCAGCTGGGAGCACATAAACCTGCTGCAAAAACAAATAAATGAGGAAGGAGAGTGGGATTATTTATAAAGGAATTTATTTTATATTTGTGTACAACAAATATATGAAAACAAATTTAATTTGAAAAACGTATATTTGATTTCTTAAAAGTATTGAACTCTTTTAAGGAAAGGTTTCAGTTATTAAAAAGGTACTGAAGCTAAAATTATACTTGGATAGATATATGTTTGTGCACGTATATATATATATATATATATATATAAACATGTGCAATTTTTTATATATATAGTATATATAAATAACGTGTGACACAGTATTTTAAGGTATGCTATTTAAACATCTGAGTAACAACAGAGATATTATAAAATATAGTTTGCTATTTCTACCCAATTTGCATTTAGTTTTCATAAGCATCTAGACTGTGCAAAATGTAAAGATACAGAAATACTCTCCTATTGTTCTATACGTTGTGCTCTATTCCCAAATTTCCTCTGGCATGATCATAACCAGACCGAACCAAATTTGGAGGGTTCAACACTAGCCCTTCCTAGCATCTTCTAAAAGCAATAAAAGGAAATCTGTCTTGCCTTGCCCTGTGCTGTAGTATAGTTTGCACACAGGAGAGAACAATGCATTTCCTATGTTAAATGGTCTAACTCCCAGAGATCACATACACCTCACCATATTGACTCATTTCATTGCACTCCATATCCTGCAAAAATAAATCTCCTGTAGGACAGCACACATTACTGCATACTGAAGTTCAAGCAATATATTTCTTTAACATAAGGCAGAAATAGACTGAAATTTGATAACACTTAAATCCAACAGCAATCTGGAATTAAACCACATTTACGTACCACATTTTTATAGATGCTGCCTTTTTTACGTTTATGTCAGAAAATGTGGTCGAGAAAACCTACTTTTCTTTAAATAAAAGCAAGGGATCAGAGCAGCCCTTCTCTAAGAAACTGCTAAAAACCGACGGGACCAGGAGGAACTTGACTGCCTTGAAACAGCACAGGTCAGTCTGCAGTAGCCTTGCTAGTAGCTATTCCCTATATGACATCTGGGGGAATGCTCATGCGAGTAGGTGCTCACTGCACTTTCAGCTCTAAGTATTTATCATCTGATTTGCATGTAGTCTAAGCTAAGGTACTGTATGCTTTTTTCATGCATTTGTTATTTGTATTGGCAATTCTGGCCATTCTGCATGCTTTTACAGTTGCTGTATTTTAACAGAAGTATGTTCGTACTCTAGGAAATGTGTTTATTATCACCGACATAAAAACCTCGATCCTGCTTCCATAAAAATCAGTGGTTGTTTTGCTCCTCCTGGAAATAAAACTGGATCCAAATATGTTAGACACACGGTTTGCTAATAAAAGTGAATACTGTATTCATCAAGTCTCTCAACGCTTAAAGGCAAAGCGGTGTCAGCAAATGCTGTATGTTATAGCTTAAGAAACAGTATTATGCACAACTCTAGGCAAACTTATTCAATGAAATCTAAAAGCAGCTGTGAAAAACACCTTATGGGATGGCAAATTTTGCTACATGAAAACTGCTGGAGCTTTGATAGGCTTTTTTCCATTCGGTTTCTTAAACCAACTCTGCACTTGTGTCCTGCATTGCAATTGCACAAAACAAGGGCTGTGGCCCTGCAGGCAGCACGTGTCCAGGCCACGCTGTCAGACAGGGCACTTCAGGTGTCCCTCTGCCTGCTGCGTTCCTCAGCTCCCTTTTAGCAGAAATTGTCCTGTTTCTGAATCCTACTGTCAAGCAGCTGACCAGATAAAAAGATAAAGGGTGTCATCCCTTATCTAGCAGTGCTCCGGTTCATCTCTGCAATTGTCCATGGAATGGCCCTGGCAGATTTCAGCCTTAATTCAGATTTCAGGCCTCACAAAATCAAGTCTCATTAGAAGCTTGCATAAGTGAGCCTTACAGGTTAGAACCTTTATTTGAATACCAGAGGGGAAAACAGATGCTGAGACAATGTTTACACCCTTTCTAACTACGCCCTTGAAATTTTGGCAGTAAGTTAGTCAAAAGATGGGCTGTGCATCTTATCCATCTCTTCTAGTTGGGAAGGAACTGCCATAAATACAAGCCTTTGCAGGGTGCGGCTGAAACTCGGAGATGGCTGAATGCATATGACCAAGGGTGCGTGCCTCGCAAGTCAGAACAAAGCAGAGATGTGCTGGGAATCCGGGATTTCTTATAGCCAGAAATTTCCTATAAACTGGAGATAAACACAATTCCCATCCCCCACACAAAAAGGAATATTATTCAGACTTACTGTAAGAAACTCCTAACTCGCAATGCCAAAGCCCCTTGATTTAAGGATTCCCCAAAGCAATCTCTAAAAAAAAAAAAAAAAAAAAAAAGAAAGAAAGAAAAAGAAAAAAGAAGAAAACCTGTGGAGTCAGTCAATGCATTTTTTTTCAATCCAATTATATAGTAAAATGCACTGGCAGGCAAGGCCCCAGCTCCAGAAAGGAGCGGAAGAAAAAGGATGGTGCAAAATGCTCTCATACATTTACACATTCTTAGGATATAAGGTAGCAGGCAACTCAGAAAACATGCCTTGTGAGCTGTGCGGGATGAGAGCAGCTCTCTGAGGGTTTGCCATGTCCTACAGCTCAGCTTTGCCTGTTTGGGCAGGACGGGTGCTACCACTGCCTTCTCCAGCGCTGTTCTTCTCTGCAGGCTTGAAGGATAACGAAGCAGAGTTTATGCAGTATCGTTTGCCAGTTGGACGAGGTCCATCGTCAAAAATGTGCCCCAGGTGTGCACCACACTGAAACAAAACACAACAGAGTATCACTGGGATTCTGCACAGCCCAACGGCGTCACAGCAGCATTACGCAGTGCTGCTTCCAGGAAAGCACGCTGGTGCCTATGTGGCCATTGCAGTTGGGATCCGCAACCTATGTTTATGGATGAGAGCTATCCAGGAGGATGATCTGCTGATACCACCAGTGCCTGAGACATAAAGCCCGACCTTCCTGTGTGTTTCATGTCATGTCACTGCACGTGACCAGCTGAGCTGCTCTCTGCTGAATCCTCATAAGGAAACATTAAGCTCCCTGATGATCCTGGCAAGGACTTGGAGCAATGAAGACATTCCTTGCAGGATGTCCTGATACTCATCCTTTTAATTTCTACAGTCTGCCATTTTGCTGAGCCTCTGGGTCCTTCTGAGTGTACCTCTGCTCCTCTCCCATGGAGGGAATGGAGCTCACCCACCACCACTCATCCCACACTACTTTCTGCAGCACATGGGACATAGAGACGGGTGACTGAAATATACCCACGGGGAGACGTGTAAAATATATCTCAATGAATACTCTCTAGCTGGGGTTAATTTATAAATAGGAATGATGCTAAATTTGTTTTCTGAAAGGAATATGAAACCACAAATCTGCCTGTTGACATTTCAGTGCTGTATGAACTGGCTTCACACACATGCAGTGTTATTTAGGGTAAACACAACGGCTCCTGTCTGAGGGAAAGGTACAGTCCAAAGACTTTCAGAAGAGTACAACATTTTGAAGTTGATCCAATTGGTCCTCATTCAAAACCAGGATTACTATCCCTGCACATTGCAGCTGACAATGCATCAGGATAATATTAACTTCTTATAATTATTCACTTAAATTCCACAAGTTCATTTTTACATTCTGCCACGAGAAATAAAAAAAAAAAAAATAAAAGGTTGCACTGGAGAAATATTTATCTTCAACAGGAAAGTCATGCTGCTTTCCTAAAGAGCCTTCGCCTTTCAAGTCAATGGCTGATCTCAGTGAGAGCTGGAATGATGTAACTGAGATCACAGAGCTGTTAGCAGGCTCACAGTCAGACAGCAAAAATTAGGGAGTGCCAATTATTCTTAACATTTAATTAATTCACAGCATCCCAAATGCAGAGAGGCACTACTGATTACTCTGAATGGTGAATGAGTTAGTGATGGCAACTTTCTACCCTGCAGTTAATGTGCTGCTAATGTGCTCCTGCTGTTACTGCTTTTAATTCATCAAAGCAGTAACAAGGAGGCCTGCAAAAGCAGGTAGAGTCTTGGCTTCAGGTTATACTCTCAGCAGACTGAAGCTTTCAGGGCAGCTAGGAGAGACAAAAATGCTTCTGGTTAATGGCAGCCCACAGAAATCCTCAGGACCTGCAGCCCCAACCTCTACATCCCAGAGCAGGCTCCCAGATCTCACAGACAAGCAGAGGGAGCACCGTAGCCCAGCAGGACTTTGCAATGATGTAAGAAAAAACAAGGAAAATAGGAAAAGGCAAAGAAAAGTTGCAGGGGTATTACAGAAGACAAAGCTTGTTTTTCTAGATCACTGTCTTGCAACCTTCTCTTCCATTCTCCAGCCCTTACTTCATTTTCCTTTACGCTTCCCTAAGAAGGAGGCCCTTCTTAAGGCAGCTTGGACAGAAAACCTGAGGAGTTTCTACAAGCGGAGTCTCTCACAATGAGGCATTTCACTTTGATTAAAGCTGTTCCATACCTCAGAAAAAAATCTAAGAAACTTAGTGTCCCAGAGAGAGCATTTTTCTAAATGCTCAGCATCTAATTAAATCATTTCGAGGAAGAATGCTTCAAAACCTCCTGCCTAGAAGTGTTAAACAGATCTTTTCCAGATTAACATTTGCCTGAAGATAAATCATTCCCTCTCCATTGGACAGAAACAGAAGAAGAGAAACCATAGAGAGAAACAGTCTGCAGGAATAATATACTCACAAACATATAGACTAGGGAGACAATCTATCAAAAAGGCTTTCCTCACAAAACCTGAAAAGCTGTGCTCGAGTTCAAGGTAGTCGCATTACACCTTCTTGTGCTGGCAGAATCACACCAGGGTTGGATTACTGCAAAATTTGTTACCTTTTGAGATTACCCCTCACCAAAAATTTATGTGGCGATTCTCTCTGTAGAGGACTCTATAACTCATCTGCCCTGAAAAGAAACGTAATTCAATCCTTTGTATCGCAGCATAAGAACCCTGGCCCTCAGCTGAGAGCACAAAGGATGAATTGATTTTGCTGTCCTCTCCATGCACAATAGGTGCCAACCATTTTTCTAGGGCGTACTGCAAAGCCTCCCCAGAAGCAACAATCATCTGTTGAGGCCTTATGCACAAATACCCTTGGCAGAACGCACTGGGACGGTGACATGGTTGGAGTGAAGCATCTGAACTATGTGTTTAGGAGCAGGAAAGGGGGGGCTGCTGCTAGCTGTCAGTATGCTTGGATCTCCAGCCTCCTGGTTCTAATATGCTGCCAGGAGTTGCAGAGAGCAGCTTGCAGTCAGCTGCTGCAACCCATTCTGAGCTAGCAATGTGCAAACAACTCTTCTGCAACTACAAAACTTTATTGATTCTTACAGGTACAAATAATAGCAAGGGAGACCTCAGGGGAAGGAACTCTCAAGCAGGAAAGAGAAAAAAAAGAGAGCTGCAAACAAGTTTACATTATTCCTCAAATGCATTTGCAATTAAATTCCACCTGCCACTAAAAATTGACCTTTTAAATTCATCCAGGGTAAGGTAACATGTTTCCAAAAAGTTATTTTTAGGATAAGCCAACAGATGTCATTGCTGTATATTGCAGCCATTTTCCCCTACTGTACACTTTCTATTGCGGAGGAGATTAAAAGATGTTTCTTACTCTCTCAGAGAGGTGAAAGGACTTTGAAAGAAAAAGCAACTACATTTTCATCTGCAAAAGATTAATAAGGGCTTGGTTGTAGGTTAGGGTGCTTCCCTTCTGTTTCACTAAGGCCTGCCATATCAATCCCGTGCATTTCCAAGCTGCAGTAAAGTTGTGCCTTTCTTTGCAGCTGCACGTGTGATTCACATTCCGACGGCTCTGAGGAGGAGAGGAAATGGTTTTGTTATGGATACACAATGCGGTGGTATTAACTTGTGCTGAGCAGTGGCTGCAAAGATGTTCACCACTCTTTGAGCTATTTTCCTGTGTGACTTGATTCTGTGGGGTTACTGCACGAGGAAGCTGGCAGAACTGATCACATGCTGCCAGTGGATTATATAGCGACTTTGGTTGCATTTTTTTCTTAACACTGTACATTCTGTTTTTGGTTTTGCTCTAAGTTTATGGTGTCTGTATGTTGCTCTGTTTACGGCGACTGCTGCTAATACTGATGGTCTCAGGTCTGCTAGTTTTGTTTGGCAACAGGCAAATGATATTCCCAGATTCCATGTCCTGACCACAGGCTGCCTTGGGCTTTGCTCCAGTGACCCCAGGAGCTGCAGCCATCTCTTGAAGGGTGTTGGCAGACACATGTTCAGCAAGCTGGCAGCACGCTTATTTTAGCACTGTTCAGCCCTAAGGAGAGGTGAAGAAAGTAAGTTACATTTTTGATTACTCCAGTAATTACTGATGAAGCAAGAGACTCCCATCCTGTAGTCCTGTTGCTACCTTGTTAGGGAATATAGGCAAATGGATGTTCCAAAAGCGTTAAACAGATCTCCTAAACAATAGCTTTACTGTAAAAACTATAGAACTGTGCACAAGATATGCTGATTTGGCCATAAATATATTGGGCCAGACCCTCTACCCAGAGTGAAGTTAGTGGATTCTCCAAATAAAGATGATCTTGCCTCTCTTCAGGAAGCTTCCTAACTCACTTTGAGCATTCCTATATGAGAACTGATCAACATGTAAAGACATGTTGTTCATCAGCAACGTGTATCATCAGCATTGAAATCAGTTATCCTACCAGCACTGCTGTCTGGAAAGAGCACAGCAAGTTCTCACGGCCCAAAGGAAGCCCTGCTTCTCTTAGGAGGAAAGTGGGTGCATGGGGCACGGGCTGCAAGCTGCTGGGTGCATCTGCCGAGTGCCTCTGTTAGGCAATGGCTGCACTGTTCCCTTTGCAGAGCAGCACAAAGGGTGAGAGCAAGCAGAACAAGACAGATAACGGAAAATTTGGGCGTGATGTGAATGACTACTGACTTCATTATTACGGCAGACAGGATGGACTGTGCTGGGAATGTGTGCTGGGGCTGACTTAGTGCTGCTGCACGGTAATGTGCAGTGATGGAATCAGCACACAGGCAGTTGCTCCACTGTTTCCAGCTTCCATCCTGGCTGCTCACATGTGGAGGAGGTCGGCCAGGCGCAGAAGCTCCTTTGAAAGGACCCTCTTCAGGAATACAATTTCTGTAGATTCAGCACCAAGCCTGGCCATTTACATCTGCTCTGTTAAATCTCACACCAGACAACAACGTGCATTCCAACAAGCCCTTTGTGCCTTCAGTCATTCCACCCAGCTGTTATACCTACGGCCCATTGTGCTCTCTTACAATGATTACTATTTAATGGAACTGAAAGGTTTGCAAATCTTAGAGAAAATACAGCAAGCTGTAATGATTTTTGCAGCCTTTGCCATCAGAATGGTCTTTGTGTGCTATAAACTAACCTGACTGCAGGATATTTCAATCCGATGCATCCCATAGGAAAAATCATCAGTGAGAGTAATTGTATCGGGACTGATCACATCATAGAAGGAAGGCCAACCTGGAAAAGAGGAACAAGGTAAGTATATGTGGCAGAAGATGGAATTCTAAAAAGCAGAGATATAATCACACTTTGAAAAATGTTCACTTAATTCCAGAGCCTAGAAATACAGAAATGGAGATTTTAGGTCACAAACCATGTAAGCATTTTGGAAAATTTTTCTCTAAATACAAAATCTTTATTAAGCTGACTCTAGCTGTCCGTCTTGTATCTCTACAGAGATTCTCACACATCACTTAGTTCAGAAAAGAAAGTGGTCAGGTAAGCCAGATTCAGTCTCATCATCAACACAAAACACGAGCGAAAAGCAATTCTATACCAGTAGATGCATATTAGGTATAACTTTTAAGCCACCCCTCAAAAACTAGTCATAGAATCATAGAATGGCTTGGGTTAGAAGGAACCTGAAAGTTAATCTAGTTCTAACTCTCCTGATCTGTTCCTATTTCCCTAAGGACAAGGTATCTCATCCAATAATTCCTTAAACAGCCAGAATTTTGCTCTCCTGGTGTTCAGGATCTTTGTCAGGCCCATATTCCTCAAGATCAGAAACTCAACCAGGGCATTGTTACTACGGCCCAGACTGCTTCCAACCTTAACCTGTTTAATGATCTTCTCTGCATGTTATGCCACTGCTCCTGTCCCCATCCCTGCTCTTGAGAGGACCAAGGGCTCCAGACAGCCCTCTCCTCACCCTTGCTTCTCAGCTTTTGGAACTTCCTTTTACACGGTGAGAGGTGCTGCTCTTCAGAATGTGGCTGCAGTGGTGCTGACCACCTCGGAAAATGTCATCATACGCACCATTTCCTGAAGCTGAGTTCCCACATAAGGACCTGATAGGCCTTAGGGTCATGTCAACATCCACCAGGGCCCATCCGAAATCCCACCAGATATGCCTCCCTCTCATTCAGTCTCCTGCCAAATATTGCAACACACACAGATAACTCTTGCTCTCTGTGTATTACACATATGTCCATGCAGAGGGAACTTCCTTGTTTGTTCTTCTAGTATCTGCTAAGCATTTGCTACAGATGATTTCATATAATGCAATAAGCTATTAACAAATAGCAGCAGTTGTGAATCACTGCATGCAGATGAGTAAAGGATGCATACAGCTTCCCATGAGTAACAGAAGTAAAATTTCCTATTCAGTAAAAGAAGATGTGGAAGCTGTCTAAATGAGGGTAAGGAAAATGTGTAAACTGAAAAAGATAACTATATGTCTTCAGTTGTACCTTAAGCCATTAAATACAGAATACATTTAGTAGGATGCAAGTAAAGTAGTCATACAATTTTAAGAAAAAAATGCTCAAAAATGCATTTCTCTCTCCCTTTTAGGAACCTCTGTACATATACAGCAGCATTCCTGAGCCTGAAGCCTGAAGGCACTGCAGGTCCCAAGTCCTGTGCTCCCCAGGAGCCTACTAATATCACAAGTGTTTCCCCTCCCGGAACTCACTGCAGAAGTGGAGTCATTATTTTTCCCAAAAGTATTGCAGATGGGAGAATAGCAGACAGCAGACAGACCGGAGTGCAAGAACTCTGAACAGGGAAAATATCCCACAAGACAGGAACTCAATGCAGCAATGACAACCGTAAAAAAACAATTTATAAGTTCTTCCCCTCATGCAAAATAGCCCTGCCAAACAAATACCTTCACAAACAGAAAAGGAACAAACATATGACAAGTTATGAAGAAGGGCTTATCCTGTTGACAGAAAAATTGATGCCTCTTAATCGGTGGCACCTCTCCAACATCATTCATCATCTCCTTAGCTGGGTCTCTGTCTAATGAAAATTGAGGTTTTACAGAGAGCTGGTCAGAATATTTTTAATGAAACATTTTAGTTACCGAAATTTAAATATTTTGCAAACCAGACATTGCCTACTTCTCAGTTTGCCCTCATATGATGGCAGAGAATTCCCAAAGACAGAGCTGCTTGGAGCAACCAGCTATCTCATCATGTGAAAGCATTTGGAGGAGGAACACTGCAGTGCTGCAGAAATCCTCAAAGGCAACCCTCCCTCCTCCACAACGGCAACAAGGGGGAAGCTTCAAAGGCTGCTACACAGAGATTGAAGCAATCTGTGTCTTGCTGAGAAAATTATCTTGTGAGAAGAGTTTGGAGGAGATGTGTTTATGTCAGCTTTGACATTAAAGAAAGACCATCCATCCTCCTTTCTCCAGGCTTTTCCTTTTGGTCTTCCCATTCAGCACAGAAAAAAAAAATTATTTGCTTTGGATACATTCCATGCACTTTTAAAAAATGAAGTCATCTGAAACCCATATAAATTGTCAAGCTCCTCCTAAAGAAGCCTTTGGACCCAAGTGGAGTGACTTCAGCCTCATTCTACACATGACACGTGTTCCAAAGACTCTACCATTGCCACATGTGTTCCCCGAGGCAGGGACTAGGAAGCAGCCTGTGCCACCATGGTGCAAACCTTCAATTCTCAGTCATGCTGTTTCTCCACTGCGGATTAGGCACCAGGCTCATTGGGCACTGGGACAAACTGGTAACTCCATGAGGGCTGACCGAAACCTGGGCAAACCTTGGGACGGAAATGTTCTTGAGGGCACTGTGAAACACTCTGTCAGTCAACCCTGATGAGACAACAAACAAACTGCTCACCAAGTTGGGGAGCTGATCTCACCGGAAAATCAATCCCCTTCTGCTGTCCCATTTCCCCTCTTCAGACCTAAAGTGAAAAACCCATTTGACAGTTTGCTAAGCCTTCTCTGACCATCTCTTCTACTATAAAAGCTGCCAGGAACAAGCTGTGGAAGCAATCTGCTTGCCAGTACATCAGGCAATACCCAGTGACATTGGAAAACCAATTAGATTCCTGTAGGTTTTTCATATGCTCACTCTTTCTTCACAAGTGGTGAATGACCCAGTAGTGGACCGCCCTTGCAAGCCCCCGACAATCTTTCCTGCTATCCCACTGGCTACTGTCAGCCACTCCTTCCCTTCCAGTGCCTGTTCCTTCCTGCTGTAAGGCTGCAACATGGCTGACTCTCTACTTTAGACTGTTGCTGACTGTACAGGAGCACTCTGGCCTGCCCCTGAAGGCTGTTTGGCTGGGCAAACACTTCTGCACTGAAGCAGGAATGGGTTGGAAGGAGATAATTTTGAATCTCTTCTGCTTCTACTAGGAGAAACAGTAATCCTTAGAGCAGTTGAGATGGAGCTCTTGAGAAGACCCTTTAAAAATGGTGGTGTCTAGTCCCAAACCTCCACAGGTTATGACCGTCTGTCGGATCTGGCTCAGCACATCTGATGGGCAGCAGGAGCAGAAGTGCTGCTGTTTGAAGGATGGTAAACTGTGACAGCCAGGAAGAAATAGCTGCAGGAGGAAAGGGGCAAAGGGTAATTGCAGGAGACAGGATGGAGCAGAGAGGGGATCTCCCAGCTGAGTGAACAACTTCAAATGACATTTGCACAATTTCTCTTGCGAAGAACAGCTCAGCTTTGTGCATACATATATCCCTGAATGTAAAGTTTAGTCTGAGGGAACATATGACACTAGAATGGTCAGCAATTCTTATCACATTATAGATATTTAGAATGGGATCATTCTTATTTTCACAATCATTTTACATCATACTGGCAATATAAAGCAAGAGTCTGTTGTGCTTGTGTTTACTGTAGTGACCCTTTATGCAGGAATCAGACCATTATGTCCCAATGGTCAGTTTCTGGTACATTAAGCCAGACATGCAGATGAACGGTTATTCAGATATAGCAGGTATGCTTTATTAGACCTAAAATACACCAAATAAAGGAATGATGTTTTATTTTGTCAAGTACCTAAGTGAAAGCCATCTGGAAACTGAACATCACTGACAGATCTTTTCCACTCCATCCTGCATGAGTAATAGAAGAGATCTCATGCTACAGGGCATCATACATACCAAGTCACATCCCATTCTTTCTCATTTCGTTACATTCCCCAAATGTTTCATAAAAGCTGTGCAGCATTCATAAAATTCACCCCATACTCCTCACCAAAACAAAATCTTTTATTCCTCATGATGGGCTTTGTTCTGGCAAAGAGTAGACAGCCATTCTTACCTCGTCATCAAAGAATATCTTCTTCAGAGTAGAAATTGTGTGATACTGCCTTGGGCAGCAGAAGTGAGGAACAAGAAGGAAGAGAAGTATTGTTTCTGGTAGCCTATGATGAATGACACTTTTGCAGCCCTGGTGATAGGGTTTCAAATTGTTTGAAAGAGGCATCTTTCTCATGGTCAGACTTATTCAAGATACCTGACTGAGATGGTGCTACCAGTGAGCCACCTAAGGTGGGCATGTTATGGGCAGCTGGCACAAGGTGGGTATCATGACAACATGGGCAACCATCATGTGGCAGTCCAGATAGCAGATAAACTAAGATCATCTCCTTAAACTGACATGCCTAAGTCGTGGCAATGCCTGATTAAGGCAGCTACAGCATTCCATGTGCCAAACATCTAGCATCTCCTGTGTACTCTTGGCAGAAGAACGAAGCCCCAGCCGGAGCAGGCTGTCTCATTCATGTTAACACAGGAAATTCTACAGCACCTTTGTCTCGTTGGCTTCTCCAGGACAATGTTGACCTCAGAAAGACATTTTGTTCTGTAAACATTTGGAACAGTCTAGCTGTTGATTGACTGATCAATTTTAGAAGCATCTCAATCATCCTTCCAATTTTGCACGTTTGCACGCATTTTACTGTACTTAGATCTCCAACATCCTAATAAATGGATGCAAGCACTTAGACATCTAACTGTTAAAATATGAGCCTATAATTACTTGCAGAAGCAAAACGGCAGGCTGCTTTTGAAAATCAGCCCTGCTAGGCTATTTTTCCCCTCTAATGAACTAATACTCCTTTTGACGTTTGTTTTTTTGAACAGTACAATTGTGATCTCAAAGCATCTAGTGCTCTGACATTATTCCCATTTCATACACCTGCTGACCGGAGACCTCCATAGTCTTTTAATAACTGTGATGTCA